GATTCATAATACAGTTGTGAATACAAGATTCTTTAACAATGAATGCAGCGAAAAGAGTATAAGACGAGTTTAGAAAAGCAGTACATTAAGAGAACAATACAAGACTAAATAAAAGAAGAAGAAATTAGTGACTTACCAGTTGAGATCAACGAAACAAACGCTAGAGTGGAGATTGCCGGAGTCAGACGACGTGAGTATTTGAAACCAAATGGCTGAAAGCTCGCCAGAGGAGGTGATTCAAGCAATTGTAGAGAGCTCGAAAAAACAGCAATGGAGGTTGGGGACTTGAGCACAAAGGGAATACGAGAACACGAAGTGAGAAAACGAAGAGAGAGAGAGAGAGAGAGAGAGAGAGAGAGAGAGAGTTTTGTTAAAAACTAAAAAGGCGGCAAAACATAATAAATTAGCCTTGGACAACGTGCCTATAAGGCGGCGTATGCAAAGACGACGCGACCTGATAGCGCGTGTCAAGTACGAACCAATAAGAAGGAGACGTGTGGAGGAAACAGTTGAAATGACCGTGCGTGACAGCTCATGCGCAGATAAAACTCTTGGAGTTCTTGATTTAATGAAGCAAAAACCACGGCTAGAGGAACAATCTCAGTTAAGATACTCAAAGAACTTGGTTCTTGGTTCTTGATCCCTGATAACAATGGACAGTTAAATGCTGGGTACTTAAAGCCGACGAGTAATGATCTTGGTCGAAGGGAAGGAATAAATTTTTAGCCGACATAGTATTTGAACAAACGATGTAGGTTCCATCACCTCAAGATGCTGAGATAATAGAACCTAGGAGGCAGTTGTAGGGACATATTTTGTGAATGACAACACGTGGCCAAGGTGACACCGAAGTGCCAACCGAGGTGCCACGTGGCCTGGTCCTAATGCCGGGGTGATCTCAGCTAGGTCGAGGTTATCTGCGGAGATACTGGAATCTGAGATGAGCAGATAAGGGACAAGAGTCCTAAAATGGGGAAGGATCTCAGTCTGGATAAAGATAAATCTCTTAGGGAGTTTATCCCTATCTAGTTGAGAGTCCAGGAGTGGGCATTGAGCCTGAGTCCACTGAAGTGAGGCTTTTATAAGGATCAGGTCAGTGCTAACTATAAAAGCAGGGTACCCCCGTAGGTCTTAGGTATGTGTGAAATACTGTGAGCACTAAGTTATATATTGTGAGTTAAGCACAATTTACTACTTGATCGTCGGAGTTCCCCCGGGTGGACGAACCACCATCGGATTCTTATCTTTCTGTGACAAGTTGTTCGGGCTCAATCTATTATGCTGGTGCTCTTCGGCTGAGTTTCCCGTTTGGTTGTGTGGTCAAAAATCAACACCCACATATGCAGATTAATAATCTAGTGTGAATGGGATGTAAAATAAGTAGGCCAACATCACACCTTTATCATTAATTCACTCATAAACTTTTATTTTCAAGCAGAAAACAAATTCAATTTTTAAGAAAACAACAACGTGTCATAAATCATTTTGATTTTATTTTGTTAAATCATGGGCAGAACAAATGGCGTTTTATAAAAAAAAATGCCACCATATGTTGTTACCGGTTAGTAGAATTGTTAAAATGTTGCAAAACTTAGATTCAATCTAAGTTATCATTTTATATTTATACAATGCAGTTAACAGGTAGGATATGGCTTTAATGATTGAGTTCGTTGATTTGATCTAAAGCATTATGCACAATGTTCTCCAAATGATCTTTCTTTATTAGCTTTGGTTGGTCCATTATCTGAAGAAAATATTCATAAATATGCACATATATAACTATGTCCAGTAATAAAACATACATTTCCACTTTAGAGTTAAGTTGAAGAGAGCTAAATATAGACTTTGGCAATCATATCACAAAATAGTGGTTATGAGATATGTGATGTTTGTTATGTTTCAAGTGGTGTGGTTTTGAGCCAAAGGGTATTGATTATGAGATATGTGATTAGTGGTTATAGTTTATGAGATATGTAATATTGGTTACGAGTCAAATAGTGTTGATTATAAGTCATGGTTATGAGTCAAATGTTGTTGTTTATGAGATATGTAATTAGTGGTTATGAGATATGTGATGTAGGTTATGTGCCAAATAGTGTGGTTATGAGGCAAAAGGTGTTGGTTATGAGATGTGGGTATGAGATATGTGATTGGTGATTATGAGATATGTGATATTGGTCATAAGCCAAATGATGTTAGTTATGAGATGTGGTTATAACCTATAACTAAGTTATGATCAATTTGATTCTAATTATGAACAAATATGATTTTAGCTCATAACTATAAAAAGTGACTTATTTACCAGGGTACTTTTGATGATGTGACTCAATCTTAGCCATTCATGTTCTATGTTCTATATATTTTTTGAGTAGAATGTACTATAGAATTTTCATAGATCAACAAAAGGAAAGAAAGTGCAAAACAGCATCAGTATAATTTCAAGATCCCAACTAGATTGATAACAAAAAACATATACAATCATTTACTAGTACAAATCTCAAAGTTGGTGAGAAACCGCCTCGAAAGGAAATAAAAACAGCAATCTCAATGCAACACCAACAATCTCAATCCCAATGAAACACCAAGCTCAACAAGCACAAGGCAACACAAATCCACACAGGCACAGAGCATTAATAGCAGCCTACCTTAGCCAAATCAGTACTAGCAGTCCACCACATCCACCTGTGGAACCATGCAACCTCTAACTTGTTTAGTCTTACAAATAAAGTCATCAATAGAATAGAATCTTCTAATTGAATGGGCCTTCATCCAAAGGGCTACTCTTCCAATTGTATGTGGACTATTTGTTCATCTATCTTTATAAATATGCAATTTTAATTGTTCTAAAAAAATAATAAAAAAAAAATTGGAGGATGTTGCTTTTTCTCCCACATTGCAGTATTACAGATCAGTGATGAAATCTTTTTACATGATAATACGATTTGAATTGTACATGAAATTAGTGAGTTAAAATTAATTATTTTTTACATAAACATAGGTATGATAAACACGAATATTAAATGTGTCAAATTAGTGTCAAACTTAATACAAATTTAAAATAAATAATCAATCTTAAAATTTTTTTGAATCTGTTGTCTAAAGTGGATTGATAGTATGTAATAAAATTTTAAATGGATATAGTTTTCTTAATTAAAAATAATATTTTTTTATCAAACTATTTTAGAGTCAATCTAGTAATATATATATATATATATATAATAAGATAATATTCGGTGATACTTTTGTCTCGGCAATTAACTAAATTGAGTTGAAATCAAATATTCATAGAGACTTGTTTAATTAATTTTAACTTACAAATAATATATATATATATATAAAATAATAATTTTTTACTTTTAACTAAGTGTAAGAATTTCTAACATGACATAAAGTGAACACGAATTAAAAATGGCATAATAGAACAACACAAAATACCTATAAAGCACGGATACAGACATAGGACACAGACACAGTAATTTCCAAAAAATAGGAACACGGACACGACAGGAGACACAACGAATTTTTATTTTTTATTTTTATATATTTTTATGTGTTATGTAGATTCATATTAAATTCATCCTAGATCAAAATTAACAAACACTAACATAGTAACATTAATTCAATAAATATAAGAGAGGCAAAAGATTCAACATCCAACATCCGACAATAAATATAAGGTGAAAACATTCAACATTCAACAATATTCTTTACAAAAGCACTAAATAAGAGGCAAAACAAGGAGGGGAAAAAGAAGAAGAAGTTGGCTTTCCAAAGCTTCAAGTAGATCCAATTTCTTGCACTACTTCATCATCATTAGCATCACCATCTTTTTCTTCGTTTGCACCTCCATCATCTATAAACAACATAACCTCCATCTCAGGTTCATCAAGTGAGAGATTTGTAACCTCAAGCATCCCAACATTATCAAATGAATCAAATGTGTCGCCCGCAATATCCCATAACTTGGTCTCTCCTTCAAGGTATTGTAGGGTTCTCTTTGATAAAAAAACGGAGGTTGTTATGAACAAAAACCAAGTCCTCTGCATGTTGGGGTGTCATCTCGTTTCTTCTCATTGAATAGATAAAAGAGTATATACTCCAATTCCTCTCAGCACATAACGAAAAAGAAGGTTGCACAAGTAGCCTTAAAGCCAAAGATTGAAGAATGGGTGCAGATGCACCATGAACAACCCACCAATTATGAGGATCCATATCACATCTATCTCCAATGGAATCGTCAGCAAATGGCCCCTCTTTGGTTGAGAACTTAGCATACTCCAAATTTGCTCTAGTGCGCTCCATTGGATCATCAAAGAACCTTTTCAAGCGCTTTTTTCTCTTAAGGTAGACCTCCTCATCCCTATGTGGGGGAACTCAGCTTGGATCCTCATGAAGCCACACATCATTATAATACGTAAAATGAAAAAAAAAATGTACTACTCATTATAAATATGAAAGAATAATATTAAACTTAAATTAATAAAAATAGTAAATTGTATTGTAATTACCTTCGATTCAATAAGTGTGCCAAGCAATGAAATGGTGTGTTGTTCTTGTTCCACCAACAGGGGTGGAGATATGCTTTGAATAGTGGTGTCAATTGACACCACTGAACTTCAAATTGTTCATAGAGTATATGTAAAAAATTATGAGTATTTACAAATTGTACCTAGTGGGCCTAAATAAAATAAATTAATTTTTAAACTTTTACAAATTGACCCAGTAGGTAAAAACAAAAACAAAATCAAACTTTATGCAGTGATTTCATAAAATGAAAAGTCGTCGCAAACAATTATAGTAGTGTAGATATTTACTTATTTTTGTTGAAGTAATCGTGTTAATATCCCAATATTTTGTTTTTACTTGTAATTTCACTAGTTTGGGTTACTTTTGTCAATATGATTTAGGAATATATGAAATTTACAAAGTATTATGTGAATGTTAATGATGACAAATTGTGTAGAACTAAAAATATGATATATGACATTGATGATGCTTTGTTAAATGACCCCGCTAAAGGAAATTCCTGGCTGCGCCACTATCCACCGGTCTATAAGAATCTGATGTACTGCAGTATAGAATGTAGACTCTTCTTCTAGTTGCTTTCTTTCATGCTTATATATCACCATCTTCACTTTTTCTATCATTGCATCCCACATGTCATATACTAAGTGAAGAGAAGGTCTATCGCTGTAACAAACTCTAATCATGTCATAAATAGGAGCAGCAAAGGAAAGTATGTAGTCGACTTGATCCCACCAAAATTCATCCAACGACTTATCCTTTACAAACTTGGCCTTACCAACATCATCATCCGCATAGCAACTCCATTTGTCACTGATTACCATTGTTTGGAGACCTTGCTTTATCAACCTGACCCTCTTAAGCATGACAATGGAAGAAGCAAAGCGTGTCTCGGCAATTGAAAGAAGCTTCAAACTCACAAACTCATTGTACATTGCCAACCTCATGGAATGATTACAAATAAAATTCTTGATCATCATCACATCACCCACAATCTCACTAATCCAATTACACTCTTCAAATGCAACTAAATTATTTTCCACTTTCTTGGCAGCACAAATATTCTTCAAGGAAAGATTGAGGGTGTGCACAACACAAGGAGTCCAAAAGATGTGAGGAAATTGTGCTTCGATTAGGTGCCCTGCCACCTTGTAATTTGGGGCATTATCTGTATTGACTTGAACAACATTTTTAGGCCCAACCTCCATGATTACTTCCTTTATCAAGTTGGAAATGAAATACTTGTCATTTGTTTCCCCTGAACAATCAACTGCATTAAGAAACATAGGCCCACCTCCGATAACAGCCATAAAATTTATTAATGGCCTTCGTTGGGAATCACTCCATCCATCACTGACTACAATCACACCCTTCTCTCTCCATGTGCCTCAAATACGGTCTAACAACCTATCAATGTTTATCTTTTCTTTTTGAAGCAGTGTAGTTCTCAACATGTTATGCCCAGGTGGTACATATCCTTGTATGTTGTTATTTGCAGCAAAAGTAAATGCACTAACATAGTAAGGATTTCTTGCCAAATGAAATGACAAGCTTGTTGGATAAAACATTCTAGCTATCTCATTATTTAATCGTTCTCGAGCCCCAATGTTAAATGCTTTCATAACAGGGTTACTACTTCCACTCTCTATAGCAGTTGGCCTCTTCCTTTTTGATACATAGATCTCCTCTGGTTCATTGAAACATAAACCTAATGATGCACTTGAACTAGGAGGAAGCAATGGGACTTTCTTCAACCTAGAGTTTTTCAATTTCAACTCTGCTTTTGCAATTACTCTCTCAAATTCAGCTTTATCCTTACTTGTTACTTTTGGACACACTTTTATCCTTGATTTTTAATTTGCATCAAATGAGCTTTTACCCTAGTGTATGAACCTTTACGTGTAACCCGACAAAAGTTACATTGAAAAGTATAGTTCCTCCCTCTTGCACCAAATTTTTCTAATCTAGTCACATATTTTCACAGTGGCTTATCATCTTCAACATCAAAGGCAGATTGTGTGTTATTGGTAGAATTTGAAATAGACATTTTTCGTATAAATTATAACCATTATTAATTAACATTAACATTAGAAGGATTAAAAATAAAATAAAATAAAGGTTTACATACTGTATATATATATATAAACCTATAATTTTTTTTTAAAAAAATACAGTTTTAGATATACATACATATATATAAACATATAATTACCACAAAAAAAAAGTCTTACATATATATATATAAACGTATAAAAAATAAAAATCAATTTACTCAGTCAAAAGCAGAGCAAAGAGAAAAAGAGAGAGGGAGAGAGAGAGTGTGTGTGTGTGAAAGACAAAGAGCGAGAGAAAGAGAGTGAGCGTGAGAGAGAGAGGGGCTTAACTTCGACTGGATTGACTGAGACAGAGACTGAGCTGCATCGGAGGGCTTCGATCGACTTCAGAGGTCTTTGACTGAGAGAGAGAGCTTCGATCGACTTCGGAGGTCTTCGACTGAGAAAGAGAAGGTCTTCGCAAGTCTAACTCTATTCCTTCACTCCCTCATTTGTTCGATTAGGGATTTCCATGTTTTTTTTTTAACTTTATACATATTACACTTTCACCCCAAATAATATAACAAATTTAAAAAAGAGCCCCACTGTGTCCCATGGTGTGTCCAGATATGGACGCGCGTGTCCCCTTCCAAAAAAAATCATTAAATTAAAGGGACACGCCATCTGCGCGTGTCCTGTAAGTGTCCGCGTGTCGGACACCGCCATGGCACCGATTTTGGAGTGTCCGTGCTTCATAGCAAAATACTAAACTAATTGAATTACTGCTGGAATAATTCAAAAATGAAATGACATACGACCAAGGCAAGGCGGAATAAAAAATTATGTACAAGGGTGGACAAAGTGGGTCTAGCTCCTCTCCAGCCATGTTGGACGTCCAGCCATTAGGAAATTTCAATATGACCCTAGAATTCTTTATTATTTGCACAGGTTCTTTGATTCACACTCTTATATTACTATTATTATTTTATATTTGCTTGTTGTTTATTATATATATATATATATATTTTTTTTTTATACTTGAGATATTAAATCTAATTGTTGTTGATAATATTTAATTTATTGAGTTATTCTATCAACTCTTTTTTCTAATAAGTTCTATTGTGACAATTCGTGCCAGGTGGCTGCTCGAGTGGTGAAAAGACTACTCGAATGGAGATGAGGTACTTCCAGCAATTTACTTTGCAGGTCGAGAGACTGCTCAAGCGGTCAAGTGGTCACTCAAGCGAAGAAGAAAGAGTCTCCAGTATCTCGTTTTGTAGACGAAAATATTGAGAGTTCTCATTCATCGCTCGAGCGGTGAAAAGACTGTTCGAGCGATCTGTGCCCTAAATTTTGAAAATTTAAAAATAATGTGATGAAATGAAATTGATCCTTAATTCTTTAAATTGTTGATTGGATTATGATATTAAAGTGGCTTTTGAATGGAGAATTGTGAAATTTGAGATGTGCTTGAGATTTTACTTGAAGATTTTGGGGATTGTTACTCTATTTTGTCTCACTCGCTTGAATGATGAGAAATTATTTTACTTTCATGAATGCATAAACATTTTGGAAGTTTTTGAAAGATTGTTTAAGGGGGAGGTAAATAGGTGTGAGTCCAAATAAAGAGTTAGTTTTGAGAAAGTGTTATGTATTGTCGGTACCCATGCAGAGAAATTTGGGCTCAATTGAAATATATATTTCAAGTGTAGAATTAATAAAATAGTATTAGAAAAATAATAATTCGGTTAAGTTGCTTCGCTTTGAATTAAAAGGCGAATAATTGAATGAAAATTATGAAAATCAGAAACTAGGGTTTTGAGTGATCAATCTATAATTAGAGAGTTAAATAATTAATATTGGAGTTTTAAAAATGATTTCTAAGCTACCGGGGTGGATTAAGATTTGTACGAGTTCGTCTATGATGTGGTTTCGGTCCTAGGGTTAATTTCGCGAATAAATGAGGAACTGGGGGTTTTTATATTTAACTAATTATTTCTAAGATTTTTGCTAATTTCTTTTAATAGTCTAATTAAGGTATTATTTTGTTCTATTATTATTTGTAAAGAAATATTACTATTTAAGTTATCAGATTTTATTTCTTCACTATATTTAATACACATGCAAATATTATTGGTAAGGTTGATAAATCAGGCTCTAACATCAATTTCAATTGCAGATTTTGTGGATTTAATTTAATATTAACTCTTGCAAAAAATTTCGTTGGTAATCGATACTTGCCTTTTCTAAGGATATTTTATTTTTAATCCTGGCAATTCTCTAGTTATAATTTATTATAGATTGTTCAGAAGTAGTAACCAAAAAAGAATTTAATCTATTTAACTTACTTTCTAATTCAGAAATATAATGTAAACTATCTTTTATTTCAACTCTAATTATTGTAATTAAACACATATAATTATTAATTAAGTATTTGAATTTTTATTGTTATGATTTTATAATATTAAGTTTAATTAATTGTGATGGAAGGTTTGTAATAATTTTGAAGAGAATAACAGCTTAGTAGTGGTATAAAGAGCATAAGGGCAGAAGTTTTCTAAAAGGGCCTGTGATGCAGTTTATATAATTATGATTAATTAGGACCCTTGGATTGTATTAGTAGATGCGGTGGCAGAATGTGATGAAAGTGCAAGAAGATGGGAGGAGGGAAGCGTGCAGGGGGGGGATGGCAATTGGAACCCGGCCCGACGGGGACCCGATCCCCCGACCCCGAATTGAGTGGTTAATCTCCGAAAAATACCCCCGACGGGCCGGGGATGGTATTAAAAATTAAATCCCGGATGATATTCGGGCCGGGGACGGTGATACATGTTTCAGCCCCGGCCCCGATCCCCGGTCCGGCTGCCCCCGATGTGAAATTACCCTTTTGCCCCTGCTTTATATATAACATATGTGTGTGTATGATTAAGGTTTTGTGTGTGTGTGTGATTATAACAACACAGAGCCGTCTCTGCTGGGCAGAGGTAGAGACAACGCTTCTCTCCATCTCCTCTCTCTTTCTCTCCCTCGGTTTCTCTCTTCCCTCTCTCTCTCTCTCAGTAGATCGAGCAGAGCAGCAGCGGTAACGAAGGGGTTCTATCTAGGGTTTCAGGCGCGGTGTCGCGGTCTCCAATCGCTGAAACCTCGTGGATCGCCGGAACCACCTTCATCATCCTCGTCGTCCCCTCACCTTCATATTCCTCAACGATTTAGAGTTGAAGCAAGCCAGCCTCCTCGGCATCAGCACCACTTCCCTCGGCATCGCCGCTGCCCCCTCAGAAGTGAGGTTAAATTTTTCTTGATGATGAAAACAGATTAAATCCTCAACGATCTAGTCTTTCTTGATTTCTATGAGTGATTCTGGTTTTTTTTTTTTTTTTTTTTTTTTTTTTTTTTTTTTTTTTTTTAATTTTTTTTTTAAAAAAAAAAAAAACAATAAGAACAAAAATGACTTCATGAAGCGTGTAAGTCCAACTTTCAATTGTATTTCGAGCATGTCATTTGTGTTTCGTTCTTGAACTACGCTGGTTTGATTCCTTGCAAAGGGATACGTAGACAACCATCGGGTTCAACCAACTGCATTTGCATCTTGTTTGTTTGCCCAAGTCTTACGGCCTTGTCAAAGAGTCGTCTTTGGGCTTTGACATTCACTCACGTCAAGAAATGACTTCGAGTTCTGTCAAAGAGGGCAACTGTAGACACCCCATTTTGACTTGGGTGCTTTCTTTTGAACATCCAATGATGAAAATTGGAATATGCTATATTACGAATTTCTAAGCAAAAAAGTCAGATTTAAGCTTTAATCCCAACCTTCAACCGTTTTGGCCAAATTATTTTATATCGTGTCTATACATATTTTTGGTATTGTATACATACAAAAAAAATAATAAATAAATAAATAAAATATTGATTAGTTTTGATACATGACTAATCAAAGATAATATCTTACATAAGCATTGTGAAATAATATTTTATAAGGAGAAAATTAAATATATCTAACAAGTCATTTTTTTATTCTTTTTTAAAATTTTGAAATATAAACAATTATACCCAAAAAAACTTTTTTTTCCTTAATTAACCTAATAAATAAAAAATATAATCTCTTTGATTTTTATTTTTAAAGTTTAAAAAAAAAAAAAAAGTAATACCCGATCTAATTTGAAACCATGGTTAACTTTGTCATGACATGATGTAACCACACAATATTATTTACAACTTAAGAATTATTTTAATGATTAACAAAAACTAATTATACCACTATATAAAAACACATTTGC